CGTCGCTTTCCCAGGGACAGCATCACTCTGCACATTGAGCAGGCGTTGTACCGATGGGCACGAAGTGAAACGGAACGTGCTGCATCAGCCATTTCCAGCCCCACGGAGCCTCCTCTCTTCCCCGGTATCCTGCACAGCCCATGGCATCACAGCCTGCTCCCCGGCACGGAGCGGGGTCCGGCTGGCAGCACAGCTCCTGAGAAGGCGGGAGCCAGCTGAGCACTAGCCCCTGGCAGGCTTAGGAGAGAGGCGGCTCATTTCCAGAGTCATTAAGGTCTGAAAAGGGTCCCATCAGGTATTCCGCCCGTTCAGCACATTTATTTTCCCAAACCACAGCGGGGATTTGTGATTCCAGGCTCAATATTGGTGAGAGCTGCACACTGGCGGCGGTCGGCCAGGGGCTCTCTGCCTGGGCAGACTGGGCACTGCTTAGAAGAGGCCCTGCTGCCAGTCCCGGGCAGTGAGTGGGCAGCCCCGGGCAGCCCCCCGCTCGCCCGGCTGTAGCCTCCGGAGCGGAGCAGCTCGGCATTTGCGCTCGGCATGTGCACACGTGAGTGTGCAATGCCGGCGGTCTCCACATTTCCACACATCCCGGTGCTAATCCCGCAAATGCGGGAAGGTTCCCCTTATGTGCAAAGGGGTCTTTGCCTGCCCCCCTGCTCCAGCCCCTCTCGCTGGGTAAAACACCCTGCGTCAGGGCACTGTGACCCGGGGAAAGAAGAGCAGGCTGGAGCAGGACTCCGTGCCATAGCTTTCCCCCTGACAGCTGCACACCCACCCTGGGGAGCGCTGAACCCTGCTGCTCACCCACCGCGGCTCCTGCCCGTGAGCCCCTCAGGCACAGACCTGCCGGCAGCCCAGTCCTGTGGCGCAGAGCCCTGCTGAGAGCTCCCACGGAGGATCCTCTCCCTCTCTCCATGTGAAACTTGGAGGGAAACTCAAACAGAGAGAGATGCAAACTTCAGCAGCCAGAGCGAGCCAGGGAGCCCTGCTGGGTTGCCACGCGGACGGGTGGGTGCCCCCCGTGCCGGTAGGGGCCCCCAGGGAAGCTGAGCCAGGTGTGCACTCACCACAGTGAAATCACGGGACGAGCAGTTCTCGCCGCTGAAGTTGCAGCTCTTGAGCATGTCGTCGAGCTGGTGGCCGGTGCGGTTGACAATGTCAGCCATGTCGGGGTCAGGGTAGAGCAGGTCCGTGGCCTTGTGGCCATCTCGGTCCTTGGGGGGCAGCCCGGTCATGTTGGCCAAGTGGAAGATGTCAGCGTCGGTGAGTGCCGAGTGGCGGTAGCGGTTGATGTTGCAGATGGTGATGGCGGGGAAGACCATCTCGCGGATGGCCTCCTCGTCCAGGGCCATGACGTGGGGGTGCTCCAGGTAGAGCAGCGCTGACTTGGCCGCCTGGTAGAGGAAGAAGGCGAGCGAGGCCAGGAAGGCAAATGCCCAGAGGGTCTGGCGCACGCCCAGCCGTCCCGACCGGCAGATGTGTCCCAAGCCGTGCAGCGTGCTGGTGCTGGCGAAGGTGGCCAGATCCCGGGAGCGGGGCCGGGCAGGCTCCTCGATCAGGCTCTCCTTGTCCCCTTCTTCTTTCTCCTTCTGCTTCTCATCCTCTTCAGCAAATTTGATTTTACACACGATCTCAATCGGCATCTGCCCCGTGCAGCTGGTGTGCCCAGCCAGCGAGCTGCCCCCTGGCACAGGCACCGGCCGAGAGCCCGGCCAGGCGCTGGGAGGGGGTTCGGGTCCCCCCCAAGCCCCAGCACGGCACCGGGAGGGCCGAGCCGTCTCGGGAGGGAAGCGCAGCCCCTCTCAGCAGCTCCGAGCCGCCGCTTCCCTCTTGTCTCACTAGTCGATCGTCTCCTTGTGCCTTCGCTTATCAGCACAAATACAGCTGTCAAAAACCCCTCTCTCTCCTCTCCCTCGCTCTGTCTTTCTGCCTCTCTCCTTCGCTCCTCTCTGGTTAAGACCCCAGCAGATACAGGCAGCATTTAGGCATCATGTGCTAATAAAATCCAGGGAATACTTAATAATTCAAGACATGTCAACATTATTTCATCGTCAAATAAAGAGCAAGCGTCAGAGAAAAGAGGCAGTGTGAAGGGCCCGGCGCCTCCGGGGCAGGGAGCCACGCTGCGCCCGCTCCCCAGCTCCGGCCCCGAAGTGCTGCCGGAGCCACTTGTTTGAATGGCTCGGTAGCTGCCGGAGCCGAG